CCCTCCCCCCAGCCCCATCCTCCCAGCCCTATCTCCCAGCCTTCCCGGGAGGGGAGACCCCACCCCACCCCGCCTCCCCGGCCGTGAGACCACGCCCCCTTCTGGCTTCCAGGGAAATGAAGCTTCTCACACTCCCCGAGACACACACTTCACCTTTCTAGACAGTTCCTGGAGAGGAAGCCCTGCCCTTTCCCAGCACCCTCCTTCTCACCTATTCGCCCCTTCCCCCCCTCCCTCGCCACCGTTGGCCTGAGGCCATTTCTCTCTGTCGCCCTCCCCAGGCCGGTAAGATGTTCAATTACACAAACAGGCGGAAAGTGTGCGACGCCCTCTTCATCATCTTCTCCTTGGTCTTCTTCTATACTCGCCTCGTGCTCTTCCCTACGCAGTGAGTCTGCCTTCCCACTGGTTGGGGAGCAGGGAGGGAGGGCATGTCTGAGATCCAGGCCTGCCTCACCCTCAGTTTCCTGACCCATGGTGTTGGGGGTGTTGGCTGGGAGGCTTCCAGGAGAAGGCAAGGAAAGGTGTTCCTGGCACTGGGCATGGCATTCTGGACTCAATCATTCTCCCCTGTGCCCGGAACATGGAGGAGGAGGCAGGGTTGGACACCCACTCACTAAAGTCTTTGCCCAGTCTGTTTGCTGATGAGGGAGCAACATGAAGATACCTGCTCAAGTGGAGCTGACGTGGCGTGGGTGGGGACTATAGTAAATAAGGCAAACAAGTAGAATATAAAGCATGAGAAAGTGATGTGCTAAAGAGAAAATGAGGTCGGGAAGGGCACAGGAAGTGCGTAGGTAGTTGGAATTAGGCTGGTCAGGGAAGACGTCACTGATGGCATTCATACAGAGAGACTGGAGAGAGAAAACCTGTACTGATCATAGGCAAAGAGTGGTCCAAGCAGCAAGCACAGCATGTGCAAAGGCCCTGGGGCAGGACTGGGCCTGCTGTGGAGGTACAGCAAGGAGGCCCATGTGGCTGGAGCAGAGTGAGCGAGGGGGAGACAGGGAAGAAGGGACGGACCGGGCAGGTCATTCCGGGCTTTGGGGGCCTCAGGAAGGACTTAGGCTTTTACCCCAGTGAGGAGGGAGCCCTGGAGGGCTGTGGGCAGAAGAGGGACAGACCTGGCTCAGGCTCACAGGCGCCCTCTGGTGGCTGCTGGGGAACAGCTGGTGAGAGGCCTGAGCAGGAACTGGGGAGGCCTGGGGAGGCCAAGCCCAGGGGACTGCGCTGGCCCAGGTGAGCCATGGTGGGGCTGGACCACTGCAGGTGACAGAGGTGGGTACACTTGGGGTCACTCGAGGGTCATGAAACAGGCATGCGCTCAGAGTTGCTGCTTGAGGAGCAGGTGCTCAGCTTTGGCTGTGCTGGTTTAAGGGGTCTGTCTAGAACCCCAGGCTTCTAGACAGAGACGCACATGTCCAGAGTTTGCAGCCACAAGACTGGATGGGGTCACTGGGTGACCTGGAGCCCCCGATATTTGCAGGTCAGGGCAGCCTGTGGAGGAGACAGGAATGCGGGTCCCTGAAGGCCCAGGAGGAGAGCATCAGGAAGGGAGGGCCAGCTGCCTGGGCAAGGCTGGCCACTGGTGACCCCACAGCCGAGCTGGGGGCGGGGCGGGGCGAAAGCTCACTGCCTGGGGGGCCAGGGGCCAGGGGGGCTCTGAGGAGGGGAGAGAAGGTGTGAAAGAGCACACAGGGGAGCAGCTAGACCACTAAGCATCCCCTTAGGGTTCACGGTCATGAATGGCCAGTCAGCAAGTGTGTGTTCTAACAGTTTAATATGACCAGGTGAGAGGGGCACTTAAATGCCCAGCTAAAGAACATCGCAATCCCTCTGGGGGGCAGAGGGAGCCATGGAAGGTGCTGGAACCAGGAGGGTCACACAAGTGAGAGGTCCCAGGGACTGGCGGCTGCGGCCGCTGCTGAAGCCCCATCTCCCCCCTGCTCCGCTGCTCTAGGATCCTCTATACCACGTACTACGAGTCCATTGCCGAGTGGAGCCCCTTCTTTGGCTACTACTTCTTCAACGTCCTGCTGATGGTGCTGCAGCTGCTGCACGTGTTCTGGTCTTGCCTCATCCTCCGCATGCTCTACAGCTTCCTGAAGAAGGGCCGGGTAGGGCCGGGGAGGTGTGGCTCGTGTGTGCCCCCCTGCAGCCCCCAGGCCCGGCCCGGCCCGGCCCAAGCCTCACGCCCCCTCCCTGTTCCCCAGATGGAGAAGGACGTCCGCAGCGACGTGGAGGAGTCCGATTCGAGCGAGGGGGAGGCGGTCCAGGAGCACCTGCCGCTGAAGAACGGCGCTGCTCACAGGGCCGGGGCAGCCCCCACGGACGGCCCTCGGAGCCGGCTGGCCGGGCGGCTGGCCAACGGGCACACGCCGGCCACGTAGCCAGCCGAGGACTGGCCTCGAGGGCCGGCCCCCAGTGCCCCGTGGCTGGGATGTGTGGGGCTGGGATGTGTGGGGCAGCTGGACCGGTGGCCCTGGGGCCAGCTCTGGAGACAGGGACGGCCCTCCCCCGGAGGAGGCGGGGCGAGGGCTAATGATCTCTCTCCAGCCCCTTCCTTCTGCCCGCCCTTCCCTTCTCCCTTCCCTTTCCTTGGGCAGCTGGACAGAGCTGGGGAGGGCGCTCAGCAGGCCGCCGGTTCCGCCTGCCAGAGCCAGCTCCAGGCCAGAAGGAGTCCAATAAAACGAACGGAGCCAAATTCTCTGAGAGCTTATGTCCCTGTTAGAGTTCCTCGTCCAACCCCGGAGGCCCCGAGGGGACTCTGATTACATATCCTACTGATGAGACACTCATCTTCACCCCAAGACACATGCCCACCCCCAGGGGACTCAGCAGGCAGTGCATAGAGAACCCCCCCCCCAGGTGAGTCCCTGGCTCCCAGCCAAGACTAGAGCCACGCCACCTCTTTCCAACACAGGGCCGCCCTTGGCCAGCCACTCACAGACCCAGCTTAAAGGGGAGAAGGCACTAGGCTCACCCAAGTCAGGCTGGGCAGCCCCTGCTCGAGGCTGGCAGAATCCCAGGGCCTCCGTGGAGACACTGAAATGGGGCCCAGGGGATGAGTTCCAGTGGGCTCCCCCAGGATCAGCCTGGGTGAGGTCACCACCTCTGCAGGAGCTCTGCGGGAAGGGGTTGAGGGGCCGGGAATCACACCACAAGTGCCCCCGCCGTGCAGGGCCAGATGTGCTGCCCCCGGGGGCACCAAAGAGGAGAAGAGGCCTGGGATCGAGAGGTGGCAGAGGACAGGGACAGGGGGGAGAGGAAGTGTGTGAAAGGCCAGGTCATTGAGAGCGAGAAAGGAGAGAGAAAGGACCCTAGAGGGGCAGAGGTGGAAGAGGAAGGGGGGGTAGGAGGGTGGGGGAAGGGGAGGAGACCACCAAGCTGGGCCCTGGGGCGGGCAGTGGGGGGCAGGAAGCGGGGCAGGGGTATGGATCTGGTCGTTCTGCTCAGCAAAAGGGACGAGAAAGGCCCTGCTTTGTTGCCCCTGGGAGAGACAACAGGAAGAGGGACTGGAAGGACAGGGAAGGGGGCGCAAATAGGAGCTGCAGGTGGCACAGGAAGAAGCAAGCACACAGGAGGCGAGAAAGGAGAGACACTGAGGGGTCGGAGAAAGAGGCGCCAGGAGAGGAGGCAGCCAGCGTGAGCCGGGTGGGGGGATGGGGAGCTGAAGAGATGTTCAAGACTAGATGGAAAGACCTGGAGGGAAGAGAAAGGAGAGAACAAGAACCAAAGCAGGAGGGGTCCCTGGGTGGCTCAGTCGGTTAAGCGGCTGCCTTCGGCTCAGGTCATGATCCTAGGGTCCTGGGATCGAGCCCCTGCATTGGGCTCCCTGCTCAGCGGGGAGCCGCCTTCTCCCTCTCCCGTTCCCCCTGCTTGTGCTCTCTCTCTGCCAACTAAATAAATAAAATTGTTTAAAAAAAAAAAGAGAGAAGCAATGTCAATTATCCCTCCGTTTTTAAACATCTGTGAAGAGAGCTGATCTGAGGAGGAGGAGGAGGGAGGAAGGAGGCGGGCAGGTGGTCCATAGGAAGGGTGTGAATGGAAGGACACTCATGCTCACTCAGCATAAGCAGGGGGCAGCTGAAGACTGCAGTGAAATCCCTTTCTCACCAGCTGTCCTGATACAAACACTGTTGGCACCCACTGTTGGGACTGGCATAGAAAAGGGACCAGTCCTGGTGAGCCCCCTGAAGAGGGGAATCTGGCAAGAACCAAAAGTACACACACCTTTCCTCATTATCCCTAGAGACACATCCAGATGTTCTGAGTACACTCAAATCAGCAAGAAACGACAACAGGTCTACAAAAGAAAACAGGACCAAAAGACACGGACATTTATAGCAGAAAAAAGTCAAGACCAATAAACATGAGAAGATGGATTCAATCTCATTAATGATCAGGGATATGCAAAGCAAGACTAGCAGATACCATTTTAGACACATTCAGTTGGCAAAAAGAAAAATTGGACAAAGCAAGTGTTGGAGAAGACAGGGATCAAGAATCTCAATCTATTACAGCGGGGAGTGTGAGTTGGTAAACTGTTTTTGGAAAACCATTCAGCATCATGTAAAATTGTTGACCATTCTACAAGTTTCAAAAGCAACAAAGAAAATGATGTACTGTTTAGGCCAGAACATCTGTCCAGTAGGGCTGTTTCGTTAGGAAGCAGGACACAGAAACAAAGTCAGAACCGTGATGTTACCTTTGACCTTGCAGGGCAGGAGAAGGGGATTCAGGTAGACAGATACACAGCCTCTGTTCTAGCCTTCAGAGTTGCGAAATGTGCTGAGAGATACTCACATTAATAAATGTAACTTAAAAGGGATATGCAGAAAGACAACCTACAGAGTGGGAGGAAATATTTGCAGACCACAGATCTGAAAAGGGCCTAGCACTCAGAATATATAAAGAACTGGAACACTACAGCATCAACAAGAAACAAAAGGTGGGCAAAGGATTTGAACTGACTTTTTTTTTAAGATTTTATTTTTTGGGGCTCCTGGGTGGCTCAGTCGTTAAGCGTCTGCCTTCAGCTCAGGTCATGATCCCAGGGTCCTGGGATTAAGCCCCGCATCGGGGTCCCTGCTCAGCCAGGAGCCTGCTTCTCCCTCTCCCGCTCCCCCTGCTTGCGTTCTCTAGCTGTCTCTCTCTCTCTCTCTGTTGTAAATAAATAAGTAAAATCTTCAAAAAAAAAAAAAAGATTTTTTTTTTTTATTTGATGGAGAGCACAAGCAGGGGGAGCGGCAGGCAGAGGGAGAAGCAGGCTCCCCACTGAGCAGGGGGCCCGATGCAGGAAACACATGGGAAAGTCAGTAAACTAGGAATAGAGGGGGACTTCCTCAATTTGATAAAGAATATCTACAAAAACCCCACAGCTAGCATCATACTTAATGGGGAGAAGCTTGAAGCTTTCTGACTAAGAACAGGACCACGGCAAGGATGTATCACTGCCTTTCAGCATCAAACTGGAAGTATTAGCTAATGCAATAAGACAAGAGAAGGAAATAAAAGGGATACAAGTTGGGAAGGAAGGAATAAAACTGTCTTTGTTCACAGAGATGACCATCTACACAGAAAATCCAAAATAATCAACAAAAAATCCTCCTGGAACTAATAAGCCATTATAGTAATATAGCAAGATACATGGTTAATGTACAAAAGTCAATCACTTTCCTATGTACCAGCCATCCAAAAGTGGAATTTGAAATTAAAAGCAGGGGCGCCTGGGTGGCTCAGTTGTTAAGCGTCTGCCCTTGGCTCAGGTCGTGATCCCAGGGTCCTGGGATCGAGCCCCGCATCCGGCTCCCTGCTCAGCGGGAGGCCTGCTTCTCCCTCTCCCACTCCCCCTGCTTGTGTTCCCTCTCTCACTGTGTCTCTCTCTGTCAAATAAATAAATAAAATCTTTAAAAAAAAAATGAAATTAAAAGCAGAATACCATTTACGTTATCACCCCCAAAATTAAATACGCTGGTATAAATCTAACAAAATACATACAAGTCCTATATGAGGAAAACTGCAAAACTCTGATGAAAGGAATACAAGAAGAACTAAATAAATGGAGAGATATCCATGTTCATGGACAGGAAGACTCCATATTGTCAACCCATTAGTTTTTGCCAACTTGATCTACAGATAAAATGCACTTTTGGTCAAAATACCAGTGAGTTTTCTCAGTATTGACAAACTGATGCTAAGGTTTATATGGAGAGGCAAAACCCCAGAAGAGGCAGCCCAATATTGAAGAAGAACAAAGCTGGAAGATTGACACTACACGATGTCAGGACTTACTACAGAGCTATGATAACCGAGACAGTGAGGTATTGGTGAAAGAACAGAAAAACAGACCAATGGAACAGAACAGAGCCCAGAAATACACCCACATAAATAGAGTCAACTCATCTTTGGCGGAGAAAAGACGGTCTTTCCTGCAATGATGGTGCTGGAACAAACGGACACCTGCAGGGGAAAAATGAATCTAGACACAGACCTTACACCATTCACAAATAAATTAAAAATGAATCACAGGCCTAAATGTAAAGACACCAAACTATAAAACTCCTAGAACATAACAGAGGAGAAAACCTACGTGACCTTGGGTTTTGCGGGAACTTCTTAGACATGCCACCAATGACGTGGTCCTTGAGAAAAAGAATTGATAAGATAGACTCCATTAAAATGAAAAATTCCTGGGCGCCTGGGTAGCTCAGTCGGTTACGCTTCTGCCTTCAGCTCAGGTCATGATCCCAGGGTCTTGGGATCGAGTCCCACATCGGGCTCCCTGCTCAGCAGGGAGTCTGCTTCTCCCTCTGCCTGCTACTCCACCTGCTTGTGCTCTCTTTCTGTCAAATAAATAAATAAAATCTTTAAAATAAAATAAAATCTTTAAAAACAACAAAAAATAAGAATGCCCAAACTCCGGAGCGCTGAGAACACGGATGCTGGTGAGCATGCAGGGCAACAGGGCTCCCAGTCCCCACTAGTACAGAGCGGTCCAGCCACTCTGGGAGGGAGTTAGTCGAATCTCTAACAGAGCAATCCGTCAAGTGCACTTCTTCGTATCCACCCAAAGGAGTTGGAAACTTAGGTCCACACAAAAACGTGCACAAAGATGTGTACAGCAGCTTTATTCACAATTTTCCAAACCTGGAAACAGCTAAGATGTCCTTCAGTTGGTGAACAGGGAAGTACACTGCCGGGCATCCAGACAATGGGATACCCTTCGGCACTAAAAGGAAATGAGCTATCAAGCCACGGCAAGACACAGAGGAACCTTAAAAGCCTATCACCAAGTGAAAGAAACCAGTCTAAAAAGGCGATGTCATGGATGATTCCAACTCCAGGACATTCTGGAAAAGGCAAAACTAGAGACCGTAAGAAGATCAGTGGTTTCCAGGGGTGGGGAGCGGGGAGAGATGAATACAGGCAGAGCACAGAGGATTTTTTAGGGCAGTGAAGGTCCTGTGTGTGTTACCGTCGTGATGGACACATCCATTATACAACTGTCCAGACCACAGGGGGAGAATGATGGCAGCATACGTTTGACTGTAACAAACGTACCAGTCTGGTGGGGACGTCAGTTGTGGGGCAGGCTGTGCCTGTGTGCTGGCCGTCAGTATATGGGAACTCAATTTTCTGCTCAGTGTTGCTGGGAACCTAACACTGCGCTGGAAAAGAAAGTCTACTAATAAAATATAAAAAGTCAATCAGC